TGATTTTTCTCTCTCTCTGTCTCTCTCTAGTGAGTGCATGTGCCCTATAGTAAGCTAAAAACAGCAAAAAAGAGAGAAAGAATTGTGATTTGACGTCTTAAATACAAGAACAAAGTCACAGAAAAAGTCCTCTGTGATTGCTTCTTAGGATGAAAGAGTACATCTTATACCACTAGAACAAGTAGCTTGCTGGGTATCTCTACCAACTGAGGAACAGAAGGTAAAATACACTTTGTATAAGTAACAATTAAGAAAGTGCCACTTAATACATTTCTAAAAGCTATTTTCTCAAAACTATTTCCTGTTCCTTGCAGGTTTTTTTTTTTTTTTGGATGGCATGTTTGATTATTTTTCAAGAGAGGAAGAGAGTAGCTAAAGTAAATAAACATGTGATCAAGTATGTTCCCACTCCAAAAGTCATGCCCTTTAACAGATATACAGAAAATAAGAAATGCATTGTTTTATGATAAAAGGAATTAATATGTGTTTTCATATTAGCATCTAATCAGAAGAGTGGTTTTAAATTTCCAAGTAGTTGGGAATTTTGGTTAAATAAAATAGTGTTCGACTCTTCTTAGTTTGTTATTGGGATGTGGTAGTAGCCCATGAGGCCTTCATTTTATTCAAAAGCAATGCCACATTGCAAAGGCATTGGTTAACAAGAAGTGTGGAAGGGAAGGGAAGTTAGAAGATAGACCCAATTTATGTCATCAAAATGTACCTTGTTGAAACTCCATTCAAATTTAGCGGAGTTTTCACTGTAGCACTAATATCCAGCTTTAAATGAACACTGTGCAACTGAGATGACAGAAATGCCATTTGGAGAAAACTAAAGCCAACAATTGGTCAACACAGCATGAAATTAACAAGGCAGGGTGAGGAGTCTGGCTACCTGGGTTCACAGTCTGGAGTAACTACTTAGGGGAGCAGCCTTGGAGACCTTACGTTCTGTGGGTAATTATGCCATTTCCTTTTCGGAGTTTTTCTAAGTATTAAATGAGATACTAGAAAAAGGAACTTAAAATTCGTGGAAATATGGAATTAAAGTATGAATTAGGGCAAGGTGGTGGTATCATAGTAACACAACTGGAGCTATATGCCACCTGCTGACCTCCCTGAGCATACTGTGTGTGTGTGTGCCCATAATCTGTGCCTGTTGATAGTTGGGGTGGATTGCAGCACAGGGACCCTGTTGGCAGTATCTGTCTCTATTTTCTTCTCTCTCTTTCACAGAAGAAATAAACTTTTTAAAAAGTACACATCTATTTTGGTGCAAAAAACACTTGAAACCCATGCATAGTCTTTTCTTTTAAAAAAATTCACTTTTTCATGAATTTTTAAGAAAATGTTTATTTAGCTTTATCTATTTGTTTATTTTAATTTGATCAGAGAGGGACAAAGTGAGAGAGAGATGGGGAAAGTGAGAGAGCAAGCCACCAGGTCCAGGACTTGAACTGCAGTTGGCCATGTGGGAGTCCATCATGCCACCTGCTGGCCCCAAATCATCCGTGTTGAGACAGACAGAGAGATACAGAGAGAGAGATGGACTTGATGCCACAGTCCTCCAGGCTCCATTGGTTTTTGCCATAAGGTGGGTGCTGCTACTCCCTCCATGAATTTTTTGAAGACCTCTCATATTTGAAGTGCTAAGATATTATCTGGCATTCAATAAATTCTAGCTGTAATTTTTTTTGAGAGGTTTTTGCTATAGGGCGCATGCGCTAGCCAGAAAGACAGAGAGAGAAAGAGAGACCCAGAGAGAGAAATCAACCCCCTCCCCTGGGGGGATGGTCACGCTGCAATCTCTTCTCCATTCCCCTCTCGGGATCTTGTACTTGGCATGAGTTTAAGCCACAGGGTCCGGGACTCGAACCACGATTGACTACATGGGAGTCCAGTGACATAGCCATAACGCCAACTGCTGGTCCTATCTAGCTTTAATTTTTAAGTTAATTCAGCCTGGCAAAAATGTAGAACAGTTATGCCTAAAAGCTCTGTTCCTCACGAAAGTTGTTAGATTGAGAGCCACAGCTTCCATTCCCAATAATAAATGATGAACTCAAGAACATCCAGTATATACAAATGTCTGGACTCTGCCTTCCCCAACCCTAGTCTCCTTTCCCAAGGTTATCCCTGGTGACCAAAACCCCTTGAACCACAGTACCAACACAGGTTCAAGCAGGGATTGCTGCCTGATTTAGTTCTACCCCACCAATCCTTCTTAAGGAGCACCTCTGTTTTAATTCCATCTCAGACTTTCTCTCACATATATGCGATTCCTTGAATCAACATTCTCTTTTTCCTCTGGCTCCAGTTTTGCAGTGGGTTTAGGAAAATTCCTCCCCTAATTTATCACCCTCCTCTGCTAGAGATTAGAATTATTGTCTAAGTCCAAGTGTCAGTGATTCACTGATAGAAAGAAAAAGAAAAACCGTTCAACCTGAAAAGTAAACAGCATAAAGGTCAAATAACAAGGGAAGTTCTGTCACAAGGTACTACATGGTTGCCAAGAGTCTGATACTGACAGATGAGGCTCCAAGGCTAGACAGGTGGAGAGAAATAATTGGGACCAGAGTGTCCATGAAAAAGAGGAGTTTTAACTGACCCTAAATGACTTTAGGGATTATAATTCCCAAACTGGCAATCCAAGTCAAAGCGGTGGCCTGAGTAAAGGCATCTGTGCTCAGAAGCAGGGACCAGATTAGTCTCTTTGCCATGCGGTGCAGGAGAAAAGAGGTTGAAAGTATAGTCTGGGTCCTCAATGGTAGTCAGGGGTTAGAGATTATGGATGGGAATGATATGATAAACATCAATTGCTGAGGTTGAGGTAGGATCAAAATTACAGTAATGTACTGCTTAACAATGGGGAATACATTCTGAGAAAAGTACTGATAGGTGACTTTGTTATTGTGTGAACATCACAGAGTGTACTGATATAAACTTAGGTGGTACAGCCTGCTACACACCTAGGCTATATAGTACAAACTATGTGCTCCATATAGGGCCATTGTATGTAGTCTGGTGTTGACCAGAAGATCCCTACAGGGTGCATGACTGTATCTGTAAAAATGCATATTCGAAACAAATTTGTTGAGTGGCCCCATAGCCTAGTGGTTAAGGGAGTCAGAATCCTCATGGCTGACTGCAGTTTGAATCCCGACCCTACTGGCTTAAGAAATCTGCTGGGTGTGTGTGTGCATGTACAACTCAAATCCTGACTAGGTAGAGAAATAGAGAAGAAAAGATTGTGGGTGTGAACATGCCCCATTGGGGGGGTGCTTTCTCTCCCCAACCCTCTCTGGTGAGCACACATACCCTCTGGCAATTAAAAAAAGTGTTAAAACTTCAGTGCAGTCACGTGCCACAAGTGTGCTAATGTTATCCTTATTCCGTATCACTCAACAAGCAAAAAAGTAAGGCAAACCATCCTGTGACTGGCTCAACGGAAGTCCTTAACAGCTATCCAATACTTCTTAAACTTCTGCTCTCTTTATTTTTCTACAATTCAAGTAATGATTAGTATTTTCATAAGGATATATACTTATGGGCACACACATAACACACAGCAAGAGTCATCTACAGTGCACTGCATGAATGTGACAAGAATCCCAGGGAAGGCAGAGGCGAAGGTCAGGGCAGGGGTGCCCACATGACCACAGGTGTGTCCACATGACCACATTACACGTGGCTGTGTGATGCTCCATGCTCTGTCTCATCCACGTGTCCCAGGAGTATGAGTCAGGTAGGGTGTGGTCAGCAGGGATTGCAGTGGCATTGACAAATATCAAAAGGCTGGTGCAGTACCCCTCTTCTGAGCAGAATCTTTAATACTCTTAAGTTATTTTAGGGTGTGTAAATGGCAGGCATTATTTGCAGAACAAAAGGTATTCAATCTAATAATTCTAGAATGATTTGTGATCTGGGATCAAAGTTTTCAGTAATTTTTAAATTATAGAGGCATTAATAAAAAGGCAAGTGGGCCAGCCTCTGTCCTCTGGTTAAGGTGGCTGGCCCTACAAGACCGATAGTATGGTTCAAGTCCCGGACTGGAGGTTGGAGAAACACAACAGATGCACATTTATGTATGCCCAAAATCCTGAAAGGAGGGAGAAATTGGAGAAAGGATTGTGGTTTGACCTTTCCCCACAGGGGTATGCTTTCTCACTTTCCCTCTTTCTGTCTCTGCAGAGTACACACATTCTATGGCAAATATGAGAGAAAAAAAGAAAGAAAGAACAAAAGAAAGAGAGAAAGAAAATAAGGAAGGGAAACAATGCAGGGAAAATAAACCCAGATAGATAAGGTAAACTTTTCCGTTGGCGACAGAATTATTTAGGTCTAATATATCTATGTTTTATTAGCTTTTCAACTCAAAAAAGAAACCTGTAAGTTATCAGGATAGTTCTTCATTTTAAAATTCTAAAACAGTTTAGTATTCCAATATACTAAAAACAATACTTGTTTGAAGGATCTTATATTAAGCATTTAAAGATGCTTTTCATAAGTACAACTTTACTTCCTAATGACCAAAAAATGTGAGATTGTATTACGAGCCCTTTGCTTACTTGAAAAGGTAAAACTAAAATAAAATTTGAAATAAAGCTGAATGAAGAAAATAATACCTTTAAGAATATTCATACCTAATCAATTACAACTTCTGCCCCCTCTTTTTTTGGAGGGTAACTGCAGTCCTTGCCTCCAAACTCGCAGAACTGCACATCTGCAAAATTGCATCTGGATCACTGTTCTTGCTCATCTCTGCCCGACCCGTGAGCGTCTACAACTAACCGTCCCACCTCTTTAAAGCTTCTTTCCCTCAAATGTATGACAGATTCTCTCTTCAGTGTCGAAGTGCAAATTAAAGAAAATTAACGCAGGGTACTCCGGGGTGAGTGCTCTGCACGCTAAGTCCGAACGCAAGTTCATCCGTAACGTTTCCAGCCCTCTGCTTGCCTGCCTCCCACAGTCTGCGCACACCCAGGTTCCTCACCCGGGCTCACCTGAGTGCTTGTTTGTTTTTCTAATTGTTTTTCAATTAACTGTTAACTGTCCCAGTGACAGTAAGCACAAGGGCAACTCCATTCACTCTGTCCTTCTGGCGCGGCCCGGACAGCGACCCCTCAGCGACCCCTAAACCATCTTCCCCTCAGCGACCCCTAAACCATCTTCCGACCCCTCGCCCCGGAGCCCCAGAGCCCGGCTTAGCTCCAATCCCCTCCCACTGCGCGCTCAGTGGGCGGGGCCCCGGGGAGCCGCGCCAGGATTGGTCGTATCCTAGCAACCGCGACGCTGTCGTCAATGGGCCGCGCCAACCGAGTGCGCCACGGGTCACAGAGAAATCGAACGGCTGGAATCTTTCGCGCCAAGTGCGGACCCTCGGCCCGCGCTAGTCGTTGCTTCTTCCGCCAGCTGGATGCTTGACCTCGCCCGCCCTCTCGCCCCTTAGAGGGTGGGAGGGCGGCTGCTGACCTGGAGCCGCCTGGTCTGCCATCGGACAGATTGCCTAGTAAGTGTGGGAGTCCTCCCATGCCTGAGCCGCCGCCGCGAGGACTCCCGACCCCTCCCACTCCGTTGCACCTGACTCCAGGCCAGAGCTTGGCGGCCCGGGTACAAAACTGGCTTTCCTATTCACTGTGTGTGCCATAGGCCAACAGTATTAAGATGATGGATGCGCTGGGGCTTTGGATGTAATCCAAGAACCAGGAGAAAATAGTTTCTGATAAGTAGTGACAAATAGGAGTAGTCTAAAACCAAAAGCGCTACAGCTTTTTACAACATTCTGTCCTGGAAAGGCCTCCAGCTCCCTCCCATTCTTCCACACGTGTGTAGTTTTCACAATCACATCACTTCCACTGTTTTCATATGGGCATAAAATTTCATAATTAGGTTTAATTTCCACTTGGTAGAGTTTTTCCTTTCATCTTCTTGGGAGCGCAGTTTCTTTCTTCTCAACTATGACCTTCCTCCTAAAACATTACAATTATTCTCAGGGCTTTTTTTTCTTTTTTTTTTTTTTTTGGCTCTATTTTTTTTCAGCCTTGGGAGAGTCCATTTCAGTCTCTCTTTTGTCCACATTATCATTTTTTTTCTTTCTTTTTTTTTTCTTTTTGAGAGAGATTTTCGCTATAGGGCGTGTGCGCTCGCCAGACAGACAGAGAGAGACATAGAGACAGAAAGTGAGAAATCACCCCCCAGGGGGGATGGCCACGCCGCAATCCCTTCTCCTCCATTCTCCTCTCGGGATCTTGGGCACGCACGCACACGCGCCCAGCGTGAGTTTTAAGCCACCGGGTCCGGGATGCGAACCGCGGTTGACTACTTGGGAGTCCAGCGACATAACCACTATGCTAACTGCTGGTTCCCCACATTATTTGAACTGGTGATCACAGCCTAGACTTGCCCCTGGAAGACAGAAAAATAGGGGGAAATCTTTCTGGGGAAGAGTTGCATACATCATCCAGCTTCATCTCAGTATCTTTTCTTCCCAGAAATCACAAAATATATCTACCTAATCCAGACTTTTTTGGAAACTAGCAACACATAAGAAGTTTGGAGTGCTGATAATAAAGCAGAAGGTTTACCGAATGTCTAAGCTGAATGAACTGACTTTCCATCCTACACTGTCCCTCAACCTTTGCCTACATGGAACCGTCTCTTAGAGATGAGGACTTCCTTAGGACTCTCACCCCAGTGCAGCCATGAAGTATCTCTTGGCTGCCCAGAATGGGTGCACAGGCTAGTGTACGTAAAACCCTTACAAACATGACCAACTCTGCAGAAATAAGCATTAATGCGGTTTATTTCTAAGTACAAATGTGTATGACCGAGGCCCAGAGAAGAGGCAATAATGCTTTTCTAGGAGTAATCAGGTACAGGAGATCCTTTTATTTGATTTTGAGAGTGAGAGACAAAGTTTGGAATTTAGTGAAGAGTTTTCCACTGGGCTGGCCCCAAAAGGCAGGATATCTGGAAGAGGGGGTAGGGGGCAAGTTTTAAGGCCATAGGTGGGTTTTATAATTCATTGGTTAGTGATTGGAAAGGAAGGGCTGTGTTTCAGGAAGGGATCAACAAAGATTGTACTGTAACAGAGGTAAGAGGGCTTGTGAACATCACAAGATACTGTCCCAAGGACAGGATGTAGAAAAGGTCCTGTTATCAATGAGTCAGAATGGTCTCTTAATGTTCGTGAGTGTGACTCACCCATGGCAAAGATGCTCTGTCAGGGATGTAGGAAGAGTCCTGTTATCAAATGGGCCAAAATGATCTTTTAATGTTTGTGGGTGTGACTCAGTCGGGCCCTGTTGAAGGGATTTTGGAAATAGGAAAAAGCAGCCAGACTTCTGTCCTCAGGTGACTGCCAGCAGGTGACTTTTAGGACTTTTAGGCCTAATGGAGAAGAAAGCATTTGAAGTGGGGCTTGCAACCTATGATTTTACATAGAAGCATCTGAGACCAGCTGAGAGGGGAAGGGAGAAAGCAGGTAGGGTATGCTTGTGTTGCTGGGGGTGTGGAGTGGGTAAAAGCCAGGTCCTTGCTCCAGGGAAGCTTCCTTGCTCTGATAGAATTGTTTTTATTTTATTTAATTTATTTTTCACAAGAGAGATTTTTTTGCTATAGGGTGTGTACAGTTGCCTGAGAAACAGAGAGATAGAAAGTGAGAAATCAACCCCCAAGGGGCATGGCCATGCCGCAACCCCTTCTCCTCCATTAGGAGATGCCTTTTCTTTTCTCATCCTTGTTTTCTTTGGCTAAGCTCCACTTTTCAGTTACTTTCATTTCCGAAGATACAGGTATCCTAGGCTAAACCCTCCTAGACTTGAGATAGGAGTCAGAATGACTCATACAGGTTTCAGACCAATAGAAACTATCATACTTTTTTTTTTTAGAGGTTTTCACTATAGGGCGCGTGCGCTCACCAGACAGACAGAGACATAGAGACAGAAAGCGAGAAATCACCCCCCAGGGGGGTTGGTCATGCCGCAATCCCTTTTCCTCCATTCTCCTCTCGGGATCTTGGGCACACACGCACACGTGCCCGGCGTGAGTTTTAAGCCACCGGGTCTGGGATGCGAACCGCGGTCGACTACGTGGGAGTCCAGCAACATAACCATTACACTAACTGCTGGTTCCCAAAACTATCATACTTTTTATTAATTAATTTTTTAAAATAAAAATGTCTTAAGTGTGAAAGAGACTGGGGCGTGCACTTCAGCTAGGCTAGAGAATCTGGTGACCTTTGCTTTGTGAACAAGAATGTATCTCTGGCTTAAAACAAACGGATGACTCCTCTGAGCTCCTCTTTAAGTTTTCACAATTCTCTTTGAGAAAACCTTACTATGTCAGTTTATGTAAAAATGTTCCCCTTTTAACCTAAGACATATAGCTCCCTCAAAAAGAAGAATGTAGGAGGTGGTGTGTTTGGAAGAGAAAGGTTAACTGGAAATGATGAAATAGTTAAAATTCTTTCTTCTGAGTTTCCTTTTCTTGTTTCTATAGGAACAATTGACCAAACTTGAAAGATCTTCAGCTGCAGTCTTTGTGGACAGATCCCCAAAAGAAAGTTGGAGCATCTAAAGGGTCTTAAAAAATCCATGTAATACATAGTATGCATACCCCATGCATCATCATGTTAGCTTTGCAATAGCCCTGAGAGCTAAAGTGTGCCGGTGGTATTGCTATTGTGGAGAGAGCTGCAGTCACTTGCATGGCTGAATTTGGATTCTAAATTTTTACATCTGTGATACGCTCTCTAGATAAGATTGTAACATTCTCATCCAATTGAGCCTTTGTAGAAAGAATGCAAGATCTTCACCAATAATACGAATTTGTGTTTGAAATGGACAGTATGAGTTCACATAAACCTTGAAAGGGAAACCATTATCTTTAATCATTTGAGAGTAATAAACCAGTAAGCCTATGGAGCCTGAACGCAGAATGAAGGTTAGTGTTGTTTGTCTTCAGTGAGGACCCAGGAGCCCTTCTAGAATGTAGTCATAGGCTTATCCCATAGGACCAGGCTGGAAGAGTTTAATTGTAAAGATAGACAGACTGGTAAAGACATGTTTTTGACTCCTGCTTCTGTTTCTGGCTGTGGTAGAATTTGTGAACAAGTTATTAAAATTCTTGAAGCTGGGCCAGCAGGTGGCATGGTGGTGGGGGCACTGGACTCCCATATGGCTAACTGTAGTTTGAGTTCAGGACCTGGCGGCTTGCTTTCTCATTTTCTCTCTCTCACTGTCAGTCTCTTGTGCACTGTCATTGCATGTGCCCTATAGAAAATTAAAAAATAATAATAATAACAAATTAAATCTGTAAAAAAATTCTCAAAGCTTCCAGTTCCTCATATATGAGCAGAATATTAACAGTGTGACAGTGATATGGTTATAAAGAATCTGTGAAGTAGTGCATATAAGAGGCTCTGTGCATGGCCTATAAGTAAAAGTTATTGCAAGTTTTAAAATTATTATAATAAAGGCCACGGTGGCCGGCTGCAGTTGCATAGCAGTAATACAACCTTCTGCAATGCCGAGGCCATGTGGGGAAGTTCTGCTTTAATGTCTGGGTCCTCGTACACACCACATGTGAGTGCACATGCCCATGATTCAGGCCAGCTGAGGCTGGATGGATTGTGGCATGAAGACTTGTTGGGGGTTCCTCTCTTTTTTCTTTCTTTCCTTTTATTTTGTGGGGGAGGGGGTGTGTGCGCATGTGCACCTGCTGGAGAGAGACAGAGAGGGGCAGGGAGAGGCAAAGTGAGAAATAACCTCCTGGGAGGATAGCCAAGCTGCCATCCCTTCCTTCTCCATTCTCCTTCTGGGATTCTGGGCACATGCATATATGCCCAGCATGGTTCTCAGGCTGTCAGGTCTGGGACACGGTTGGCCATGTAGGAGTCCAGCACCTCAACTACCACGCTACCTACTAGTCCTTCTTTCTTTCTGCCTCTTTCCTTCTCTAACCCGCTATATCTCTTTCTCTCATGGAGGAAATAAATAAACTTTTAAAAAATATTTATTTATTTACTTTCATTCACTGTACATCATTACAACATACAAAGTGAGATTTTCCATCCAGAGTACACTGTATATTGGCTCAATCAAGAGCATCAACATACATGTTATCGTCAAATAATTTTCCATTTTTTGTTTCCTGTATGTTTTGCTTTTTTTTCCATCTTTGACCTATCTCTTACCCTCTGCCATCTCCCACTCTCCTCCCACGCTGTCTCTGGGATCTATGTTTGCTTTCTATACTTCCCCCCACACACATTTTATTGAGTCACTAAAGATCTTAATTAATCTAAATATTTTCATAGCAAGCACAGCTTGAACAAACATGAACACAAGTCCAACTTTAGGCATAAGCCTCAGTGAGTAGAACAAACATCCTATAAAGTAGCATGTAGCTGAGGCTACTGCAGTCATCAAACAGGTATTTTTAATGCATTTTTTTTAATTTTAAGAAAAACAGTTTTAGCTTTTTTTTTCCTGAAACTTTTTTTCAACTTAATTTACATTCTTTCCTTAAGCATCATCACAGCATACAAAATGTGATTTCCCATCCAGAATATACTGCATAGTGGCTTAATCATGCATATTATTATAAAAAAATTTCCATTTCTAGTTACTAGAATTTTTTTTAACCCCTATTTCTGACCCTCTGTCCTTTCCCACCCTCTTCTCACACTATCTCTGGAGTCTACAATTGTCTTCCATTCCTTTTACACTCACATTGTATTGATCACACAATTTCTTAAATAATCTAACTACTTTCAATATCAAGTTCACTTGGTACTATTAAGAAAACCAGTTTTAACTTAAATCAAAGAAATGCTAAGGAACTTTGCTTAAAGCCAGGAAACAGGTTAGGATTCTGTTCAAATGGTAGGTACATGAACCTATCCATATCTCAAGACAGGACACAAATCCTTACAACCAGATAACAAAGTCTACAAGAAAATCAGCAATGTTTTAGTCAAAAGTCATAAAATTATACTTCACCAATTCAGTCTCATGTTCTTTATCTTCTGTTGTGGTTCAGTTTTCCTGAGTAAATTCTGGGATATAATATTCAACTCCAGACTTGTCCCTACGATTAAATAAACTTTTTCTGAAAGACCATAGGACACAGTAGAACTAGATGGCCTGGTTTAGAATCTCAGCAACACTCCCGAGTAGCTATGAAATGGTGGGCAAGCTAGTTAATCCTTTGTCTTGGCTTCCTCATCCTTAAAATGAGAATAAGAGTAGTACCTGCCTCATAAGGTTATTGGAAGGATTAAGTGCATATTGCATATAATGTAATGTTAAATACATGTTTGTTAATAACAGTACTTTGACTTTTTTTTGGGGGGGGCCTATAAAACCTCCCCTGGGTCCAACTGATTTTTGTATTTGACTGAATGTTCATGTTATAACACTGAGCCTTTCAGGAAATACAGTCTGAATATTAGAAATGGGCAAGTGGGAGTGTTTTCATAGTTGAAAAGTGTTAAAGCCCAAATTATCAGTTTATATGCCTTGCACTCTCTGGATACAGAGGTAAGCGGAGCCTTTCTACACTTCCTCCGAGTTCTCCGCCCTGCCCTGTTGCGGTGAGCGGGTTGAGATTGCGTTATAGTTTGGCCACTCCTTTCCTCCTGTGTACTCTAGCTATTTCAGGCAGGCCCAGATAAGTTTAATATGTTGCATGTTGCCTTGAGTCCACCTGATCCCAGAACAGCTGACTACATGAGCCAGGATGTTTAAGTCTAATTTTAGAGCAGAGTTCTAGAAAATAAAGCATTCAGAGGTGAGTACACGTATTCCAGCCAGGCTGAACTTGAACTGTGGCCTGGTTTTCCCCCTGCCACTAACTTCCAGTCACCTGTAGGGCAGGTGTGTTTCTTCTCAGGATTTTATCCTCTTTTTTAAAGAATTTTTTATTTTAGTTATTGTTATTTTTAAAATTTGCAAAATGGCATGTGTGGTCACGAGAGAGAGACAGAAAGAGAAAGTGAGAAAGCAAGCCACCAGGTTCGGGACCTGAACCACAGTTGATCACGTGGAAGTCCAGTGCCTTAACCATCATCCCACCTGCTGACCCTGGATTTTCTTATCTTTTCCTCATTGGAGGCAAAATGTCATTATAATTGGAATACAGATGGGTATTAAAGGGTCTGGGGAGATACTTTATTTTCCAAAATGCAAGAGCTTTGTATTTTTCTAGTTATAAAAATAATCCTATTTTTTAAATTGTTCAAATAATGCAGAAATTTAAACAACATACAAAAGACAGAAATCACGTAAACTTCCTCCACACAGAGAAAACTACTGTGGACCTATTGTTGTATAGCTTTCTAGATGTCTTTTTAGATGTATCAGTATATATACCTTTGGATACTGAATTTTATTTATTTATATTTTAAAGAAATATTTATTTTATTTTATTTATTCATTCATTTAATTTAACCAGAGAGAGAAGCACAAAAAGAGAGGGAAAGTGAGAAAGCAAGCCACCAGGTCTGGGACTCGAACCATAGTCAGCCATGTGGGACTGTTTAGTGCCTTAACCACCATGTCACCCGCTGGCCCCATGGATACTGAATTTTATGGATACCTCTCAGCACTATATGTGAATACGTTCTTTGCCAATAAATGCACATCTGTATTATAATTTTAAATGATAAATTGAATCCCCCATCATGGGTGTACTGTAATTTATATTAAACCAAACTTATGTTGATGCTAGATCGTTGCCAACTTTTCTGGAAGTCCAACTTTGACAAGCACCTAGAAGAGAGCCTTCAGTCCTGACTCAGAGATGGAGAAATCAGGCTCATCTTCAGCTGCCTCTGAGCTTCAGCCGCGGAGGCAGGAGGGACTGAGCGACACAATAGCAGACTTGACTGAGCAGAGTCTCATCTCATCTGAGAAGTGGCTTCAACTGCATGGACTCAAGAGCAACAAGCTGACCTTGAAACAGATTTTGTCCCAGATTGGATTCCCACATTGCGAAGGTATGGTTCAAATAGCCAGCATACTGCCCATTAGTCTCTGAGGAGGCAGCATCGGCTCTGAAGACCTGTCAAAAAGCTCTGAGGTTGTTTTGATCCCACATCCCTATCAGTAAAAAATACACATATACCTTTTATATATCTATATCTATATCTATATCTATATCTATATCTATATCTATATCTATATCTATATCTATATCTATATCTATATATATATGTAGTATAGATATGCAGTTGTCAATTTACATATTAAATGTTAATAATGCTTAATTTCATTCTTTTTTAACAGATGAAATTAAAAAGTAAAGCTATTTGTATTTATCCATACCCTAGCAGATGCCTTGCTGATTCCCTCGGATGTACAAACTCCCTTTTGGAGACCATCGATTAAGCGTGTGGTTTCAGAGAGACTATACTATTTTCCTGTTTGGTCTACTATATGTTATGGTCTGTATTTTTTCTAAATGCATTGGCTAGAGTATGGGTTCTTACCTCTTAGTGGCGCTCCCGCCCCCCAGGAAACATGAACAATGTGTGAGGGTGTGTTTTTTGGATGACATACTGACTCAGGATGCTATGCAGGGGTGCTGAGGGGCTTTCAGTGTGTGAGAGCGTATTCAGCAGAACTGCCCTGCCCACCATGTCAGAATCACCCTGCCTGAGGAGCACTCCTTTAATGGGGGGCGATTTCCATTACTAGGATTTTTCTCAGTAGTTGTGCATTATTTACTTAATTAAACAATATTCATTGAACAACCATTTATTTTATTTTATCTATTTTTAGAGAAAATTTTGCTGTAGGGCATGTGTGCTCACTGGAGAGACAGAGAGAGACAGAGAGACAGAAAGTGAAAAATCATCCCCCCATGGGTATGTTACGCCACAGTCCCCTCTCCTCTCTTCTCCTCTTAGGATCATGGCACACACACACACACACACACACACACACACACTTGCCCAGCGTGTTTTAAGCCACCGGGTCCGGAACTTGAACCACAGTCGAGTACAGCAATGTAACCATTATGCCATCTGCTGGTCCCCTTGAACAGCCATCTATGCCATTTTTTAAAACTAGATTATGTTTTTAAATTAATTTAAAAGGTATTTTGTTAGAAGGCATGCACTCTCACCAGAGAGAGACAGAAAGAGAAAGTGAAAAAACACCTCTTATAAGGAATGGTCCCACTGCAATCCCTTTATCTCCATTTTTCCTTTTGGGATTTTGGGAATGCACATACATGTACCCAGAGTGTTTCTTAAGCTGCCTGTGTGAGTCCAGGACTTGAACCGTGTGATTGGCCAGCTGCCTTACCCAGTCTTTACCAGTTTCCTTGGCAGCTTTATTCTGCGGTAATAAGAATGATCTAGGGGAGATAGTGGTTATAGATTGATCCGGAGACGCATCTGAATGGCAAGGACTTATCCTCCACGACTCAGAACTTGCTTTCTATACTTTCACAGGGCTGCTACAGCCCTGTGCCATCTGAATGCCTTCTGAGTGGGGGTCAGCCAGAGACAGGGCCCGGGGGATGTCCATACAAGAATACAAACCGAAAGTAGGTTTATCTCGTGTTTCAAATCATTGCAGTACAGTCACTAGTATTAGGAAGAATATCAATTATATTTGTTTGAGGATGTTTTCATCTAGGTTCATGAGGAATATTGCTTTGTGTTTTTCTTTTTTTTTGTAATGTTGTTCTCAGATTTTAAAATCAAGACTATGCCCAAAATCCCAGGAGGAGAATAGAGGAGACAGGATTACAGCATGACCATCCCCTCAGGGGGTAATTTCTCACTTTCTCTCTCACTGTCTCTCTGTCTTTCTCTGACAAGTGCATGCGTTCTATAGGAAAAAAAATTAAATAAATAAATAAAATCAGTATTATGCTGGCATCATGATGCTTTTTTTAGAAATGTTTCCTTTTTTTCTATATCCTAAGATGTTTGTACATAGGTATTATTTCTTTGATAGAGCTCATCAGCAAAAGTTACCTGGGCCTGGAGTTTTGTTTGTGGGAAGAGTTTGATTTTAAAAGTTCAATTTTTAAAGTAAATATAGGACTATTCAGGTTTTCTGATTCATCATGTCAGTTTTTGAAAGTTGTATTTTTTAAGGAATTCATCCAATTATTGGTAAAACATTGTTCATAATATTCCTCTTTTTCTTCTTGTTTCTTCTTTTTTAAATAGCCTTTTAATGTCTATAGGATCTGTAATGATGTTAGCCCTTTTATTCCTGCTTTTGATAATTTGGATTTTCTCTCATTTTTTTCTTGATAAGTCTTATTAGAAGTCTATCATAACTCTTCAAAGAACCAAAATATGGGTTTGTCCATTTATTTTTCTAATTTTGTTTTTCTTTTTTATTGTTATCTACTTTAATTTTTATTATTTCTTTTTTTCTTAGAGTCTTATATTGCTTTTAAAGTAGAAACTTAAATAATTGATTTTAAACTTTTCTTATATAATCATTTAAACTTATATAAGTATTCCAATAAGCAGTGTTTTAGATAGGTGCCACAAATCTTGGAAAGTAGTGTTTTCACTATTATTGGGTTAAAAATATTTTCTTTTTTCTCTGATACATTTTTCTTAGAAATGTATTATTTAACTTCCAAATATATTAGGACTTTTAAAGATAACTTGTTTGTGTTAGATTTCTAATTTAATATCATTGAAGTCAGAGAACATAGTCTGTAAGATGTTAGTCTTTGAAAATTTACTGAGATTTGTTTTATGCCCCAGCATCTATCTTGGTGAACATTCCACACACACTTGAAAATAATATGCATTCCACAGTTGTTAGACAGTATTTATAACTGTTAGTTAGGTCAAGATGGCTGATAATGTTGTAGAGATTATTTATCTGATGTTAATATCGTCACTGCAGCTTTCTTATGCTTAATTTTTATGTGGTATATATGTTTACATTCTTTTACTTTCAAATATCTCTGGTTTCTATATTTAAAGAATGTTTCTTTTTCTTTTTCTTCTTATTTTTTTAATAGCCGGAAGGAGTGTGTTCTTGTCAGAGGGAGAGAGAAATCCCTCACAATGGCACATGGTTCTGCCGCAATCCCTATTCTGCCACTTCTCCATCCTGTCAGGATTTGGAGCGTGCATGTACATGCACTTAGCATGCACTTAGCCACCAGGGCCAGGACTCAAATTGTAGTTGACCAAGTGGGATCTAGCTTCTAATGCAAAGCATTTAGCCACTGTGCTATGGAGCTTTCTCAAGAGAGCTTCTTATAGACAACATATAATTGGATTTTGCATTTTTAACCTAATCTCATAATCTCTTTTTTTTAGTGGTAGTATTTGATTCTCTACATTTATTTTATTATTACTTTTTTTCTTAGATTTTTGCTATAGGGCACATGCGCTTGCTGTAGAGACAGAGATAGACAGAAAGCGAGAAATCACCCCCCAGGGGGGATAATGACGCCACAACCCTTTCTCCTCTACTTTCCTCTTGGGATTTTAGGCACACATGCACACTTGCCTGGTGTAAGTTTCAAGCCTCTGAATCCAGGACTTGAACCACGGTTGGCCATGTGGGGGGTCCAGCAATGTAATTATTATGCTAGTCCTGATTTTCTACATGTAATGAAATGATTAGTATAGTCAAACTTAGGTATACCATTTTACTATTGGTTTTTTATTTTCTCATTTTTTTCCCCACTATTTCTTTCTTCAGCTGCCTTTTAAGCTAAATGAGTTTTTCTCCATTTTCTTCTTATTGCCAAAATGTGCTCACCAGAAAGAGAAAGAGAAAGCAAGGAGAGAGAGAGAAAGCACCCTTGGTAGGTGTGATCACACCACAATCCTTTTTCCTCCATTTCTCATTTCCTTCAGGATTTTGTGCACTCACACGCATATACCTAGCATATTTTTCAAGATGCCAGGGCTGGCATTCAAACTATGGTCAGCCATGTGGGATCTGGCTGCCTTAATGGTTGAGCTACTGAACTGTACCAAGTCTAATTGAAAAATTTCTAGTGTTTATTTAGTTCAGTTTTCATTTTTCCATTTCCATTTCAATAGGCTTCTGAAGTTTACCATTTTGCATTATGTTCAGTGGTTACTCTAGTGATTGTATCCTTAACTTGTCAACATCTACTAAAAGTTAATTTTGTACAACTTCCTGTAAAATATAAGAATCTTACAATAGTATAGCTCCATCTGCTCCTCATTCATGTCTTGGTATTATTGTTTTAATGTATTTTGTTGTATTTTTTAAATGTACATAGTAAATCTCATATTCTAGTGTCATAATTTTTGTTTTTTAAAGTCATGTTTAAAAAAAACTGAGAAGGGACTAGCAGTTAGCGTAATGGCTATATTGTTGGACTCCCATGTAGTCGACCATGGTTCGAGTACTGGGCCCGGTGGCCTAAAACTCACGCCGGGTACGTGTGTGTGCACATGCCCAAGATCCCGAGAGGAGAATGGAGGAGAAGGGATTGCGGCGTGGCCATCCCCCCTGGGGGGTGATTTCTCGCTTTCTTCCTCTCGGTCTCTCTCTGTGTGGTGAGTGCACGCACCCTATAGCAAAAACCTTTCAAAAAAAAAAAAAACTGAGAAGAAAATTTATAGCCTTTTAGGGTTCATATATTTACCACTTAAAATATTCTTCTTTCCTGCAAGATTTGAGGTTCCATCTGGTGTTATTTCCTGAAGCATTTTGTTTAAGCATTTCTGTTGGTGATAGATTTTTCTCAATTTTGTTTATCTGAAATTGTCTTTATTTTACCCTCAGCTTTGTTTATTTATTTACTTATTCATAAATACTTTAAAAATATGATTGTAGATTCTCAGGGAGTTGCAACGATGGCACAGAGGGATCCCATGTACCCTTCACCCACTTTACTCCATCATTGTATCTTGTAAATGTATAGTATAATAGCAATACCAGGAATTTGACACTCATACAATGTGTATGTAAGTCTATGTAATTTTGACACTTGTGTAGATTCTATAACCATAATCAAAACATA